CAAACAACACTGAGATTCTACTTTACCCCTATTAGAATGGCTGCTATCAAAAAACCAAATGCTAACAGGTGCTGGTGAGGATGCAGCCAAAAGGGAACCTTAATATAGTGTTGGAGGGAATGGAAACCTGTTCAACCACTCTGGAAAGCAGCGCGGAGGTTCCTCAAAAAAGCTAAACAGAGAAATACCCTATGATCCAGAAATTCTACTCCTGAGCATTTACCCAAAAGGTTATAAACCAGGTTACAGGAAAGCCACCAATATAACCATGTTTATTGCAGAATTATTCACCATAACCAAAGTGTGGAATCAGCCCAGATGCTCCTCAATGGATGAATGGATCAAGAAAATGTGGTATCTATATATAATAGAATTACTCATCCATCAGAAAGAATGATATTGTACTATTTGTAAAGAACTGGAGAGACCTGGGGAAATCCTGTTAAGTGACTTAAGACAGGCCCAGAGGAGCAAACGATGCATGTCATCCCTTATATGTGGAAGCTACATTTAATTTAGAGACTTATAAGCAAACATGTTGGGTGGTATGCAGGTGTATACAAATATATTCATGGAAATATGATAGACTCAAGGGGGATGTCAGATAGTGTAATTCCTTAGAAAGGCAAAGTCAAACTTTAGCAAAGTAAAACATCAGGAATTGGATACTTGAAAGGGGTTGGGTAGGGTTAAGGGGAGAGGGGTAGACGCGCATGAAGAGAAGAAGGGGAGAACGCAGTCAAGAATCCGATGTATACCTATAAAATTAAGAAGAGTGAGAGAAGGGGTGGATAGGGGAAGGAATGGTAAGAATTGAAAGGGGTGACAATGATCAAGATACGTTACATTCAAAAAAGTCTTTGTTAAAAGGCAACTCTTTGTACAACTGCTTAAAATTAGGCAGAAAAAGAAAAACAGGCACACATCCTATATTCTGTTAATTATCTTCCTTGCCCAGATGGTGATCTGTATTTACTTCACTGCTTATATATGGTTAGCATAGTAAGAGATCAATTTGAAAATAAAAAATAAACGAGAGAAAGGACTGGGTGGTATAACTGTGGAAACACCTGGGTACAATCTCTTGGGGATTTTTATGCCTTCTTGGGGCTTAAAACACTTCAAAAGCATCTGGGAGGAGTGGTTTCCTCTAAGTCAAAATGTCACTGATTTATTTCTTTGTTCTATTCATTCACTTCCTGTTACTTCTCCCAAGCTTCTTTCTTTGGCTCTGTATTTTCCATGTATTTAGTTAATTTCTAACTTTTGGCAACCTGCTCTTTCAATTGCATGATTTAATTCATTGGAATTATAGACTGCATTGTCAGCCTCCACCAGCGAGACACTTAAAACATTTTCTTTAAAACTTGTTCATGCAAGCCTGTGAGCAAGGAAAAGTCAAAGGGACACAGCTTGGGATGATTTGACATTATGACATGAACAAGCTTGTTCTCTTGTGCTTATAGTTTGAGAATAAGAAAGAAGCTGCCTGATACCATCCATTTTAGGTAGACAGAGACAATCTTTCCCTTTGTGCTTGATAACTATTTTTGCCATTTACAAATTTCATTTGACAGGTTTCAACAGTATCTATATGCTCACAATTCCAACTTTCAGCCAGGACCTCAACTCTGAATTCCAGACTCAACACACTGTCAATTTACATATTTATATTTGGAATATCTACTAGACCAGCGCTTTAACCAGCTAAGCCACGGAGCCAGCATGATCTGGAATATCTAATGAATCAGATTTAACATGGCCCAAAACAATCTCCCATTAACCCTCCTATAACTCTCCTCTTTGCAGCTAATAGCAACTCCATCCTTGTTCAGGTCAAACAAGGTGAATGGTAGACTACTAACCCTTTGAACTCAGGGCCTTAGACTCACTCAGTTTTTCCACTCATGGCTGGCATTCTCCCACTTGAGACAAGTCTCCAGTACAGATTTTATTGTTTGGTTAAGTGAAGAAGAACAGTCTCACCAACTTTCCTGCCCAGACTGATTTTGAACTTAGATCTTCAGATCTCAGCTACTTGATTAAAGTGTTCAGTCCTTTATAGTTCTATTTTCAAAAGATGTGTCACCAAATGTGGCCAATTTTCACTACCTCTACTTCTACCTACTGGTCTAAATGATCACAAACCCTCTCCCAGAGTTTTGCACTAAACCACTTGACTCTTTCCCTTCATTCTGTCCTGATCCTCCTCAGTCTATTTCTACTGAGTGGCCAGAGTGGTTCTTTTCAATGAAGTCAAGCTGGGCATGGTGGCACAGACCTAAAACCCCAGCACTTGAAAGTCTGAGGCCGAAAGCTCTCAAAAAATCCAAGGACTAGACTGGTAGTATGCTCAATGGTCTGTCCAAATCCCCTTGGTTCCATTCCTAACACTGGAAAATGAAGGAAGGAAGGGAGGGTGGGAGGGAGGAAGGAAGAGAGGGAGGGAGGGAGGGAGGAAGGGAGGGAGGGAGGGAGGGAAGAAAATATGTAAGTTAAATCTGACCAATTCTGCACTCTGAATTCTCCAGTGGTCTCTCCTGATTCCCTAGTCCAGTAGGAAAATTTTCTCATGATCACTTCATATTATCACTCCTAAAACTGGATTCTTGCTATGTCTTCAATATTCTGAGGGCCTTTGCACTGGTAACATCCTTGTTTTAACTGTGCCAGAAATCTGCCTAGCTCATTTACTGATCTCCAGGCTTCAAATAGACTACCCAGACCATTTGATTAAGTACTACAACCTCACCCCTAGCCAGTACACCCAATCTTCCTTCCCCCTCTACTTTATCTTTTTACCATAGTAACTATCATCTTATAACACAATGGGTGCTATACTTACTTTTTATTGCCTACGTCTTCTTGCTAAAGAGCCTACAAGAGCTCCAATAGCTTCTCTACAGCCGGAGCCTTTTGTTTTCTGTAGGGTTCTCTTCTTTGGGGGTGTTGGTCTATCGCCTCCTGTACTCACACTCCTTCTGGTGCTAAAATCATCTGCTTGAAGGTTAGGATCTGATGTGAATCATGCACACTTACTGGTTAATGTATCAACTGTCCTGAGTATGCTTGCTTATCAAACCTTAGGTTCAGCAGTGGCCTTCATCTTAGGAAGAGAAAGTGGTAAGCAGGGATGGGGTGGTGGAAGTGTACCCCAAAAGGTTTGTTGGTTCATTTTGTTCTGACCTTCCCTGACATCTATAAAATCTCTGCATAGACTGTTGACATTTAGTAAGTCCTACTCCCAGATTTTAGTGGGAGGTAAAGATTTAGGGTCTAGAAGGGATTGGAAAACTGTTATCAACTGTTTTTTAAATTAAAGTTATTGGAATGGATCCACCATTTGTTTATGCATTATCTGGCTGTCTTCATTCTACAGTGGCAGAATTGAGGAGCTATGATAGAGACTGTATGCCTGTGAAGACTCAAATATTTACTGTCTGATCTTAACAGAAAAAAATAGCTGCTAATTGGCAGTTAAGGGGGATGGAAAGTATCTGTCTGGGCTGTGAGCCATATAAGGTTCACAAAATCACTCAGTACATGATGAAACAGATATTTATGTCTTGTTAGCTTCCCACAGCCTATCTTCCTGTATTGACTATGTTGACTGGGTTGTGAATTACGTTATAGTATTCAAATGGCCCATGGCAGAAAAAGAATGCCCCAGGGCAAGAATTCTCCCAGCTGTGGAAGTGACCTAGTAACTTGGAATTTAGTTCAACAGTTGAATTCCATAGGCATTCATTGAATTGTACTGTGTACAACGTACCAGAATTGGAAGCAAAAACATAGCAAAGTACTATCTGTATAGATGTTTTCTAGCCCTGATCCCTACTTGATTTAAATTATTTTTCACTTAATTTTAATGTGGAAACTCAGCATATAGAAAAACTAAAAAGAAGTTGGACTCATATACCACTATGTAAATTATATGATTAACATTTTACTGTATTTTGTTTGTCATATACCTATTTATCAGTTCACTTAACTGGGAAGAAATCTTCATGCTGCTATGATAATGAATCAAGTCTTTCTTTAAAGATTCTCAATAACACCATTATATTCTTTAAAGCTACCTACATAGTTAATCAACTGCCAAAAAGATTAGCTTAGGGGCCCAGTGGTAGATGTAAGGCTAGCAAGTATGAAGCCTTCAGTTGAAACTCCAGTACTGCCCAAATCAATAAAAATTGAAAACAATGCTATCAATAATAGTAACAGTTAAGTGAGGTAGAGTTGGGGCTCAAGTGGTAAATTGCCCACCTTGAGTGGAAAATGTCAAGGGACAAGGCCCTGAGTTCAATCCCTAGTACCACCATTAAAAAGAAGGGGTGTGGGGGGGTATTTATTATCTAATCCTTTAGAGACACCCTTTGCCTGCTTTGTTTTAGAGGCACGATTTTCTTTCCTTTCTTTAGACAATGAGCCTTCTACTGTTTATAAAGCTGGAACTACAGCCATGCCTGCCACTCTGATGTAGCTCTAACAATGAACCAGATAGCCTCAGTCACTGGCGGAAATTCTCCAATATCTGCTCACTGTATTGCATGTCAACAAAATCCAAGGTCTTACTTAACCAGTTGTCTCTCGTTGGCTTCAGCCAGGAACAAAGATGGCTTGGCTCTTGGCTCATACTCCTCCCTCATTCTGACTGGGAAGCAGGAGGGAACTGTTTTTTTAATGTAAGAAACCATTGTGTACAGCCTAGGACAAGCCAGGCTCCCTTAATTATCATTGCAACCCTAGGAGGTAGGTATTATTGTCCTCCCCATCCTCATTTCACCAGGTAGGAACAAGGAGACACCTGGAGCCCGAGTCACCTGCTTCAGATCCTCGTAGCCAAGCTCCTGGCGGGTGTGGGTGATAAAATTCCAGCAAAGGGCAGGTTTCTAACGAAGTAGACATGCGGACTTCGGAGCTCATCAGCACAGTCCCGGGGAACAGCGCGCCCCCAAGCGGCCGGGGCGCGCACCACTTCCGCGCGGTGAGGCCAGAGGTGCAAAGACCCAAAGGCAGCAAGAGCCGGTGCAGGAGAGGTGGAGGGCCCAGCAGGAGAATCCACGCGGCTCCAAGGGTAGGTAAGGGGAGGGTCGCTCCTGCCCAATCCCCTCTTCACCCCCTCGGGACTCCTGCCTCTCCGAGGCCACCGTAGTGAAGCGCTGAGTCACGGTGAGAAGCCCGCGCCTTCCTACCCCTCCCTTCCCGGCGCCTCGTGCGGCTCCCTGTGTCCCCCACCGCGGCTGAGGCTCTTGTGAGTGCTCTGATCCCTCACACAGGGCCTGGGGAGGGGGGGGGGGGCGTGCTGGAGAGAGGTTTGCAAGATCGTGCCTTCCTAGGGGAGATGACCCCCCAGTGGTTTAATTAGGATTGAGTGGTTTGGTGAAAGTGCTCGGATGGGTTGTTTTCTTTTTGCAAAGCACTGAGATCTGCACCTCCTCTGCGGTTCACAAGCATACACTTTAATTGTGGGAGTCCAGAAGCACCCCGAATCGTTTAGCTGCGGGAGCGAAGGTGGGGGGAGGTGTAAAAATACTTTCTAGTTGCTTCTTGCCTGTGAGTGATGACAGGTCCCTACGGTTTTGAGTTTATTAAGCCTGTTTTCCCTCCCCTGCAGTTCATTGCCAGGAGCTGTTGTTGATTATCTGCCAGAGAATGGGCATTAGTTTTAGGATGAGCCTTGAGTGACTGCAGGGTTTGGCTGGTTATGGCCCTTCGGATGAACAGCAGTCAAGTTTTCCTAGCACTATCTGTACCCCTTGAGGAAGGAACTCATTCCCATTTTACAGATGGGGAAACTGAGGCATAGAGAGTCTCAGGTGGAGCAGCTGGTATGTGGTGAAGCTGCAATAGAAACAGAGTATATTAGACTTTGCCTGAAAACCACACAGACATCCAGGTACAAGGAACAAAGAAAAGATTTATTGTCAGTAAAGGGAATGCAAGACCTCTTCTCACAGGAGAGGAGAAGCTGGCTTTTGTGTCTGATGATCAGGGCCAGGGGCTTCATCATGGCAGACTAGGATTTATGGCTGCTGCCCAAATAGTAGATAAGGCCCCTGCAGCTGCCCAGACCTGAAGGTCACTCTAATGGGTTCTTGCTGCCTTCTATGGTGGTAGCTGCCCCGGAGAAGTGCCATCCCAAGGTAAGGGGGGGGGCGAGGTGGGGGTTGGAGGCTGATTATTTACTGCCTTTACTACATGAGCCTAGTGTTGCCTAGGAAGGGAGCGTGCTAAGCTATGGGAAGGGAACTTGTTCGGCTAACATAAACACAGGGCATCTGGCTCCAGAATCTGCTTCTTGCTAGAGCACTTTCCTTGGAGTTGGTAGGAATCTTTGAAGGGTTGGTTATATTCTATTTGCAAAAGAAATCTGTTCTGTGATAGTATATTGCTTAGAACTTAGATCCTCTCAAAGATGAAGCATTTTTTGGAATAAACAACAATATATAGTGTTGCTCCTGAAACATGGGATACATTGTCAAGGGCATCTCATGCCAGGCTTAGCAGCCTTGTGCTTTATTTTGTTTTATTTTTTCAGTTGTGGGGCTTGAACTCAGGAACTGGATGCTGTCTCTGAGCTCTTTTGCTCAAGGCTAGGAATAATAATCTCATGGACTTAACTGCCTGGGCTGGCTTTAAACTTCAGTCCTCAGATCTCGACCTCCTGAGTAGCTAGGATTACAGGTGCGAGCCATCAGCACTCTGCAGAGCCTTGTGCTTTTCGAAAGGCTTCATGACAAGATTCAAAGCTCTCTTACCTAAGACATTGGTCCTGAACTTCAGAGATGGATGCATCTTGGAATTCCATGGTCCTTAAAGACTCTATTGAATGCCAGCATGTCACAGACCTCTCGATTTTTCTGTGTTCCTACTGTTGCCACAAACATCTCCCCTGCCATCTGTTACCCTACTTTATGAGTAGCACTGAGAGACTCTGTGGTATGGGATGGTTAAAAGAGGTCATTGACGTAAAAAGAAGCTAACGTGCTTGTTAAGAAATTCGTAGTAAGTGGCCAAGAGAGCCTTTGGACAAGATGACTATAGGTTTAGATGAGATCATTCTTAGTAACTAGTGAGGTCCTGTACACCTAGAAAGTATTTATGAACAGTCACCATCATGCCTGTTATTCTAAATCACCTAATCCAGGCCCTCCACATAGTAGATGCACACTAAATTACAGGTGTTACTATTTTAGCTAAGTCCAAAGTGACTCCCTTTGTTTTGTAGTGTTTGGGTATTCCCCCCGCCCCACCTTTATGGCTTCTTTTGCCCTCCATCTTCCACAGCTCAACATCCTGTGGCATGGGATCCTCCAAGAAGGTTACCCTGTCTGTGCTCAGTCGGGAGCAGTCGGAAGGGGTTGGAGCACGGGTCCGCAGAAGCATCGGCCGGCCGGAGGTAGGGTGGCTACCCCTTGCTTCCCCGCTCATTCCAAGTGAATGGAGGGGTTCTGGAGTGTGATTTGGGGATGAGCTTCCCTGTGGGGTGCGAAGTCTTATGCTTCAAAATGAGGACCCCCCCACATGCTTGACCCTTCAATGATATTCCCCCGTTCCATTGCAACTTTGCGTTCTCTGACAACCATGTCTCCATCCCTTCACCTGAGCCCAGTGGTATTCGCTGCTTCTCTGTGGAGGTGAGGCTGTGGGGGTTTATTTCACTGGGCACACTGTGCACTAGCCATGGAGACAGGAAAACTGTCCACCCAATGCCATCCGTTCCATCAAGCCGCCCTCAAGCCGCGCCTTCACCGTTTCCCCTTTCAACATTAACTTCCTGATGACTCACATTTCAACATTATTTTATTAAGGATTCAAACTTCAATGTATGCCCCAATTGATGGAAATGTTAACTCTTGAAAATTCGATTTTTATAAGTAAAAGCAATGGCAATTGATACAAAGAAGATAGTTTCCATCACTATGAAGAAAAATGGTAGAGTTAGAGCGAGAGGTTACGTATATCAAAGAAATGGATTGGTTTAAGGTACACTGTGCTGCTTTAGGACTCTGTATTCACAAAGCACCAAACACCCTATTTTCCTTCTAAAACAGCTTTACTGGCTCCTTAAATATCATTGAAATCTCTTTTTGAATATTATTAGATTTTTAAAAAGAATTAAAACTATTTTCTCCCTATTAGAGTTAGAAATGTACTCATTGCAAGATCTCCATCTGTAGTTCAGCTTCTGAAAGGAAAAATAAAGGACAGATAATGATGGGATTTCCGTCCTTCAGGAACACTGGCCATCTTGATGATCATCTCAGGGAAGTGAGAGGCAATGTCTGTCATTGATGGAAGGTCATCATCAAGGTCAACATTGAGCTTCACAGTTCTCATAGGCTTTCCTGTATTCAGTTAAATTAATCACACTGAGGTTAGCTGAGTTCAGTGGGGGCTTTTATCACAACAAAAGTGGTTTGTGTCTGAAGCTCTCTGCTTTACTCACAAAATTTTTGAGAACCCAAACAATACAGTGTGCCAAAGGAAACATGTTGGCTGAGTTTATTCATTGTCTTGTACAGAGGCAGATGGAGATGGTGTCATATTCTACCAAACTCCATTTTCAATAGAGCAATTGGAAAGAATTCTGAGACTACTCTAAAGACACCTGTCAGCAAACCATTATTGTTTGTTAAGGGTAGCTAATGCTTTAATTAGTCCATCTGTCAGAAGCATGTCTACTGAGGATTTTTAATTTATTCCCCTGTATACCTCTTTGATCAAACCTATCAATTCATTAGTAAATTAATTGCTTACCACATAAAGTAAAATATATAGGATTGCCAAAGAAAACATTTATACTTCAAGAGTGTTAAAAATTGAAAAAAATTGTTTTGCCTAGTAATTTTGCATTCACCAGCAAGATGTAGGGGCAGTTTTAATAACGCCCTAATGTCAAAGCCATGAAGAGTATAAACAAAATCTCACCACTGTTATATGATATGAAAATAGTTTTGTTTTCTATTGCTGTCAGAGTCACCACATTTATTGTAGTTGATTCATAATTTTTAAAAGCATTAAAATTCAATCTGGAGATGGTGGTAACAGTGAAACAACAATGTAAATGTACTTAATGCCAGTAAACTATATGCTTAAGTGATTTAATGCTCCATTTTATTTCATTTATATTTTACAATGAAATAAATCCAGGAGAAAACGAGGTTAGGTGAAAATAAGGTCACAATTCTTTCCTTTCCTTTTCTTTTTTCTTTTCTTGTCAGTTACGGGGCTTGAACTCAGGGCCTGAGTGCTGTCCCTGAGCCTCTTTGTGCTCAAGGCTATCACTCTACCACTTGAGCCACAGCACCACTTCTGGAACCATTCTTTTCTAATCCAAACTTACAGCATCATTGAATTCTATCCCAGACCCAGATAAGAATTCCTGTTAGAGAACCTAGATTTAAGAAATCCCCCAAATCTTTTATTTTGGGTCTCTTGTGTCCCAGTCATGTTTCTTCCCTAAGGAAAAAGCAAATGATAGGGGTAATTTCAAAGCTCACAGGTCTGGTTTAATCACAACTAAGAAGCTGCTTCATTTTGTTTCCATATAATTGTACATTCTCGGTCATTGGGATTGCATACAATAAGCAGTTTTGTATCCTGATTATTTTTATTTAACATGGTAGCATAAGGACTAATCATGTCATTACAAAAACTTCACTCAGATCATCTTAATAGCCATGAAATATTCCATTGTATGATCCTAATGTTATTCTCTAACTCATAACCCATGATTCCTTGACTAATCTTGGTCTTCATTGATTTAGTCTCTGTGCATTGTGCTCCCCGATATCAAAGTCTCAGTTAAGATATTGAGTCAAGGTACAGAGGATGAGTTATAGATTAAGAACATTCAAGGGTATGTGTCAGTCTCAATCTGGGATCCATGTTGCCAGCTAGTTTCCTTCTACTTTCTCCTTGCTACCTTCAAGACCCAGTATATAGACAGGCTGAGGAAGCCTAGTATGCAGCTGTTGGAGTCTTAAGGGCTTCTCTTCTCTTCTGCTGCCATATTGTGATGTAGGCTGGCCTACTTGGCTGGTACTATAGGCATAATTACCCCCCTGTGTTAGTTATGATTCAGTTCAACTATATGTAGCAGAGAGCATCTTCCAAAACCATTGGATACTATACATAAACGTATGTTTCTTTTTAGGTGAAGCCCAAAATAGGCAGTCTAGGGGGAACCTGAAAGCTTGCCTTTTATCAGAGACCTGAGCTCATTTTATCTTAGGTCCAAGACAACTAGTAGAACAGTAGTAACCATTTCCCTTCTGGCACAGAAAGGAGGAAGAAGAGAAAAGTAAAAAGACAAACACCAGCTGGCCATTCTCCTCTTATAAGGTATTTCCCTAACCGTCCCACCCTGTAATTTCCACATTGTAGAAATATGACTCTACCTAGCTTTACAAGAAAGGCTAAGGAATATAACAAAGGACCATTCCGAATGTCTGGAGGGTACCTTCTATATACACTGGATTACTTTAGGTTCCATAGACCACCATTTGAAAAGTAGAGCATTTATGATTACATTGTGGTAATTGATTTTTTTTTTCAGCTTCTTCCCACTTGATATCCCTAGTCTGGTTATGATACAAATTGATCTTGTTCATACCCGATTATTTGTATTTTAGATGATTATGAAGCAGTTCTCATTAAATATCAACTTGCTGACATAATTGGTCAATCTGTGTGTGTATGTGTGTGTGTGTGCGTCTGTGTGTGTATGTGTGTGTGTGTTATGAGGGGTTCTGCCTGAAAGCAATTTTTTGGTGTCTTTCTTGATGCTTGAACTCAGGGCCTCTGGGTGCTGTTGCTGAGCTTTTTGGTTTAAGTATAGCACTCTACTACTTGAGCCACCACACAGCTCCACTCCCTACTTTTTTGGTAGTCAGTCGGAGATAAGAGTCTCCCAGACATTTTTGCCCAGGCTGGCTTTAAATCACAATCAGATCTCAGACTACTGAGTAGCAAGGATTACAGGTATGAGCTACTGGTACCCGGCCTGAAAGCAATTTTTATTGCAAAAGATTTCTCATTGGCTATGGAGTTCTCAGTGACTTTTCCTAGGTCTGTTTATATACATAGCCACTGGTGATATGGCTTTCAAAAAGACTTGTCTAATCTGTTAAATTTTATTATTTCAGTTAAAAAATCTGGACCCATTTTTACTGTTTGATGAATTTAAAGGCGGGAGACCAGGTGGATTTCCTGATCACCCACATAGAGGTTTTGAAACAGTAAGTATAATGATTTCATTGTGAACGTGTGTGTTTTAACACTTGCTTCTTTTTGTTGTTGTTGTTGGCTGTGGGACCTGAACTCTGGGTCTGAACTTTGGGTCTGGGTGCTGTTCCTCAGCTCTTCAGCTCAAGGCTAGCGCTCTACCACTTGAGCCACAGTGTCACTTCCAGCTTTTTCTGCTTATGTGGTGCTGAGGAATCGAACCCAGGGCCTCATGCATGCAAGGCAAGCACTCTACCACTGAGCCACCTTCCCCACCCTGCTTCTTTTTCTAATAGAAAATTCAATTTTGAAAGCATTAGCTAATAAACTAACAGTAATTTATAAATTTCTAGTTAAAAGTCTCTACCGTCTATTTGATATGAAATATGCTCAAATTAAAATATTAACTGTTTTCAATAGCTCTTAATTTGTGCCACTGGTGTCACTCTAATTTGAGCAATTAAAAGAGCAAGACCTGGCTTTTTGAAATAATTTATAATTAAGATAGTTTATCAGAGATAAAAGAAACTAAAGTATGATTACATAATTGTATATAGAAAATCTTTTGTATGCAAGAATGTTTAGAAAAACTTAACCTTATATAATGTAATGATATGAACCCCCTAAAACAATCTTAAGCACTCAAAGAGCATTTATGCTGAGTTCTAATAAATCATAGAATCAAGGGGCCAAAATATAACATAACCTAAAACTGAGGACATACTTATGTATTTACAAGTTTAATTACAAAATGGGAAATTCTGTTGGACACTAATTTTTCTTTTCAGTAGACACAGAAATTCAAATGTGGAATATTATATTGTGACACTTCCAGTAGTTTCCACCGTTCATGTCTAGATTCTGGGAAAGCTCAGGAATGGTTGCTTTCTGATACAAATTTAATGAGAACAGCTTTGCATTCTTAGTAAACAAACCAGGACTTGTTAAATGTTGAGGGTGTTTGTAAAGCCAATTTGAGAATGAGTAAGTATTTACTCAAAGCTTGAAACATGCCAGCATTGGTGTAGGGGCAGATTTTATGTGGTAGGGTGTTGTTTTGTGTTGGGGACTATTGATGGAAGGCAGAAGAGGTGAGACTGGAGAAGTATGAGGCCTGTCCCATCACGTAGTCTAGTTAAGGAGATGAAAGATACACAGGAAAGGAGTTAATTACCATAATGTAAAGGCAGACTAAACCAAGAAGCTTCTAGAAACAGGTAATCTTTCTTCCTCATCTAGCTATTTGCCCTCCAGTCCTCTTCTCTGCTTCCATATTGGAGCCACTGTGTCTTACTCAGCACTACGGGAGCAATGCTTCTTATAAGTATACCTCCTGTATAGTTATGCTGAATTTGGACCCTCTTCCCAGAGCAAGTCTTTCCATAGCTCCACATGCTATCTTATTAATCCTTGAAGATATTTTTGGGTAGCATTATCTCCATCAACTTTTCCAAATAATCTCCAAGTAATTTCCAAGTAATCTCCAAAGGATACTTTTGTTCCTTTCATCTGCTTCCCATAACAGTATATTATTTTTTTATCAGTCTCCCATACATAATACCTTTGTGTTAACTTGACCATCTGTCTTGCATTAGACTTAGGAATTGCCTCAACTTCCCCTCACTACACTCAAGAAAACTACAAATTGCTTCATCTGACATCATGTTTCCCATGTGTGGCTACTCAGCAACTACTGGCTGAAAGTAATTGGATAATAGACATGTTTTCTTGTTCATGTCAATGAATATATTAAATAAAAGGAATGCTGACACATACTGCTTTCATTTCTGTTTTGCAAACTGCTGTCTAGGGGGATTGTTTTGTCAAGTTTAAGGGTCTCAACTTTAACTCTGTGGAGTTCAGTTGCAGAATATTGATATCTTGGCATTTCTTTTATTTATTTATTTATTTTTCAGTGTGGCCTGGGGCTTGAGCTCTGGGCCTGGGCCTGGGCACTGTCGCTGAGCTCTTTTTGCTCAAGGCTAGCACCCTACCACTTGAGCCACAGCGCCACTTCTGGGATTTTCTGTGATTAATTGGAGAGAAGAGTCTCATTGACTTGGCTGCCCAGGCTGGCTTCGAACCACAGTCCTCAAATCTCAGCCTCCTGCTTAGCTAGCATTACAGACAGGAGCCACTAGCATCCAGCTGGCCATTTCTTTTTGATGAGGGATTTTCCAAAAAATTGTAGCTGTAAATACAGTTGATTCTCTTCATGAATTTGCTTACTTGAAAAATGTATTGGCATTCCTCAAATCAATATTGGTGGAGGGCTGGGAAGTTGGTTCAGTGGTAGAGTGCTTGCCTTGCACGCATGAGGCCCTGGGTTTGATTCCTCAGCACCACATAAGCAGAAAAAAAAGCCGGCAGTGGCGCTATGGCTCAAGTGGTAGAGTGCTAGCCTTGAGCTGAAGAGCTGAGGGACAGTGCCCAGGCCCAGAGTTCAGGCCCCACGACCCGGACCAAAAAAAAAAAAAAAAATATATATATATATATATATATATATATATATATGTGGAGTTTTTGTGGTAACTCATGGATATGAACAGAGTGGTAAAAATTTTGAGTTGCCTGATGTATATGTTTCCAGCCAAAGCTAAATGAGGTGAGGCTCTGCTTTCTTGCTTCAACTCTTTTAATGTAAGCACGTGTCATTTTCACAGTCTTAGTGCCATGTTTCTTACATTATTATGCTTTTTGGTGGTAATTTCACTATTTTAAATGGTTCCCAAACATAGTACGGCAGTTCTGTTTGGTATTTCTTAGCCCAAAAAGGTTATGAATGTGCCTTTTCCACAGAGAAAGTATATATGGCAGCCTTCAGGTACCGGTTGTACTGCTACTGGTTCAGAGTTCAGTGGTAATTAATTAACAATATACCATTTTCTTTATTTTTTTTTAAATCTTTAAGTAGTTGAACAGAGGGGTTTCAATTCAGCTCATCACTTTGTGATGTCACCCCTTCCCTCATTCTCCCATAATTTAAGGTGTCTTTAAACAGAAACACACAGAAAAAAGAGTCATATGTTGGCTGATTGACAAAATTATGATGACCAGAGGCTGCAAGGAGCCAAATCATATTTGTCCTTTGGAATCAGTGGTTCACTGTTTGTTAATTTAGTTATATGGCAATTTTGTAGAGGATAACTATCTCAAATTACAAGAAATAACAGTTTTCTCCAGCAGTACAGGTAAGCCAGGAGTCAATTCTCTCTTTTTGCAATTTGTTCTAAATGTACACCTTAAAACTCTGCAGTTTAGAACCAAGATCACTTGTAGGCCCTTAATATCTATTCTCTGAAGCATTACCTGATGTATACAGGCTTCTAAATTTTCAACATGTAGACTAGTATAAAGAGCAAAATTAGTAAGATTATGCTAGTTTGCTATCCAGGAGTAGCCATTATAGTAGATGTATTTTCTTCTAGTACTTTTTCTGGTATTTTGCACCCTTTTTTATTGTGAAAATGCTGTACAGAGGGGTTACAATTACATGGGCAAGATAATTAGTACATTTCTTATCAAGCATTGTAGCCTCCTCCTTTGTTTTCCCTTCCCATCCCATCCTCCTCCCCCAACCCATCCCCCCCACCACCAAAGTTGTAAAGCTCATTTTCGATATAACGACTTGTACATCTCATTGTTGCAATGGGTCCACCTGTATCCCTATTTAAACCATTTGTTTTTTCCCTTCCCCTCCACAAATTATACCAACATCAAATACAGTGAAAGCAGGGGTTATACCGTGGGGGAGGGACATCCAAAGCAACAAAGAAATAATCTTATAAATGTGTTAGAAACAATCACATGAAAGAAAAAAAAACATTTGAATAAATATCTTAGGGTTCATTTCCCTAACATCAACTTATCTGACTTTTTCTGCTTGACTCAGACATATACTAGTTATTGCAAATAAGGGAAACCATGGGACCTATGTTTCTTTGGGCCTGGCTTACTTCACTTAATATAATTTTTTCCAAGTCTTTCCATTTCCTAACAAATGGGACACCCTTTTGAACTTGATTATTATACGGTTAGCATTTCCCCAGTGTTGTTCAAATAGCTCATTTTTAATGGCATTATTATGCATCTGCTATGACGATTGTATCAGTTGACATCACAGTGATGTATACAGGTACCTGTTTTTCTTCAACTTCATCAATATTTATGTAACATTAAATCATTGCTCTTTACAAGTGAAAAATAAAACTATTACAGTTTTAGTTTATTTCTCTTATATGATCAAGGGTTTTGTGTGTGTGTGTGTGTGTGTGTGTGTGTGTGTGTGCCTGTCAACATCACTGTTAAATGATAGCATCTAGGTTTTCCAAGTTCTAACACTAAGAGCCCTATATTGTTGGCCAGCCAAAATGGTTTACCTAAAGAGCTGTTAGGGTTCAACCCATCCTTCACAGACGCAGCTCATGATGGTCTCGTCCAGTGGGTTCTTAGTCAGGTTGAGAAGGAAGTTTCCAAGTTTTCTCTACAAGCCTCAGCAGGTTGTTTAGTTTTCATCAGCAGAACAAAAACGATGTTGTTTCCAAGGGTGTGCCAAGCAGAAAAGCCACACTCACAATTACTGGTTGGTAGCCAGCAGCATTTGCAGGCACTGCCTGAACAATGTCCTGGAGAGGAAGGGAATGGCCCTAGTGATTCACACCTCAAATGTTTGACCCAATTCAGACCTCCCATCTCCTACCCAGCCTGCTGCTTTTAGCTTCCTGTGCATCAAGGTTAGGTCAAAGCTGAAACAAGTAGTTTGATTCAATTCAGTGTGCCTATTCCTTTCCTTTCCTTTCCTTTCCTTTCCTTTCCTTTCCATTCCTTTTTTTTGTCAGTCTTAGGACCTGAACTCTGGGCCTGGGCACTGTCCCTGAGCTTCTTTTGCGCAAGGCTAGCACTCTACCACTTGGGCCACAGTGCCACTTGTGGCTTTTTCTGCTTCTGTGGTGCTGAGGAATGGAACCCAGGGTATCATGCATGAGCCACCTTCCCAGCCCCATGGTAGCTAATC